GTAGGGGACCCCTCTTCCTTGTTGCAGCTCTCTCTCTGTCTCTGCACCTATCCTCATCCTCCGTTGGATCTCCGGCCTCTTCCTTCCTCCGCACACTGCGGCTGTTCTGCGAACTCCGGATCTCCACAATGACTGAGCGCAGACGGGTCTCTAATCTCCCGGAGCGGAGCTCGGACACAGAGGGAACGGGTCACAGCGGCACTGGTCGGGTCTGGCCAGTCATCGGGGGTCCTGAGCTGTAGATTTGGCATTACCGGGGCCTCCGCGGTGTCTGAGCGGTGGGGGCTGTACTTCCTTTCGGAGGACATTGTACAGGGAGCCCATTGAAGGGGATTTCTGGGTAACGGCGAGTCACGTGACGTCTTATAGGCCGAGGACTCGGATAGGTCATTGCACTCCAATAGATATCCCAGAGATCGTCATCATCACATTTGGGTGGAGTGACCCTTTAACATACAGCAACATGTTTCAGCCCTGATGCACCCCTGGAATATTAAGGGGCTCAAGGAGTCCCCGCCATGAACTACAACCCCCATTATGTGTTGTTAGTTTGGCTTTCCCCGTCAGTGTGACCTCCTTCTATCTCTTCACCGGGACGCAGCAGCAGCAGTGACCCCATTACACAAATCGTGTCACCGGATCTCTCTGGCGTGTCGCCCGTGTGACGAGAGGCCTGGAAAATGAGCGGTTTGGCGCGGCTCCGGTGTCAGGCGAGGGCCGGCGTTGGTTACACGGGGCGGTTTTGTCCAGCATGACAGCAGGTACATTACGCCGGGCCCTGCCTGGGGTCAGGTTCCCAGCTGAAGAGGAAAACGCTGCATTGTATGCATGCCCTGCCCCCGCCTACCAACAACGCTACCCTATAGGAGAGCAGCACAGGCAGAGGACACAGGAGGTCAGAGAGTACAGAGCCGCAACAGCCCATCATCTTCTCCCATAATGCACCTGGAACCTGGTTACTGCAGCCAATCATCTCCCCGTCAGGTGACCTCACATTCCTCATGGACATTGGATCAGCCAATGACCGGACCGGCGATCGAGCGGCCGCCGCCCCCGAGGTCCACCTCCGCCAGCAAGGCCTTACCTCCTGGTGTTATGAATGGCGGTCCCGCCCAGGATGATGCGTACGCCCGGGGTTGCCCGATTCAGGTTGTAGACAGTT